GGTCATAACTAATAATCTGCCTTTGTGACTGTATTTTTTATTTTATTCCCCAGAAAAGGCCTTTCTTCCTCAAAAATTATTATTTCTACACAACCATCAATGAAACTCCATTTAGGTTTGATATGCTCCTCACATTCTCAATATATTCCCTTCATACTTACTGCACATGTTGAAATAGCTTATTGAAAAACACATTTTATTGTACAGTATTTTACCCTTCTCTTTAGATATTTTCAGTAACAATACCTTCAGTTGACCTTCATATGATGTCTTTAATGCATAATTATGATGTGCTTTCAGTTTTGGGATGGTGCTTACAAGAGGTCATGGGCAGTACATGTTCTTTGGGAATGTTTCTGTGGAGGAGGGTGAGTTCACTATATGATGTATAGCTCATGTGATATACAGTTGGTGAAAATGATGCAGTACCCTTCAAAAGTACAATAAGGATAAAAATATAAAAATAAAAAAAAGGAAATTAATACTTATATTTAGCAAGGACACAGGTCAAAAGAGACAGTAAATATGTTTATAATGTTACCCAAAAATTCTATTTCAAATAAATGCTGTTCTTTTAAAATTTATATTCATTATAGCATCCTGAAAAAAAATGTATCAATGTTTCCACAAAAATATTATGCAGCACAATTGCTTTCAACATTGAAAATAATAATAATAATGTTTTTTGAGCAACAAATCAGCATATTAGAATGGTTTTTAAAGGATCATGTGACACTGAATACTAGAGGAATAAAAACAGGTATTTTAAATTGTAATATTTCATATTTTGCATTCAACATTTGCATTTTTTAATCAAATAATGATGAGCATAAGAGACTTATATAAATTAATCTCATTTTACCAATAATAAATATGGAAATATTGATATTTATCACTCTTTGTTTAAATAATCATAGATCACTAATTTAATCATTTATTTTTATGATGGATTTTTTCTGTTTGCAACAAGGGTAAAACAATAACATTGATAAACGATGAAGAAGTAGCCAAAATGAATGCTTTTACAGAGATTAAAAAAAAGTTTCCTTCATATACGTACCAAGAAGAAAAATGGTTTAATAAAAATCAGCCCCTGGGAAATAAAAGTGCCTGAAGTTGAAGGAACACCTATTTAGGAAATTGTCAACACACACGCACAACAGATAATGAGCTGCCTCATAGCTACTCACCATTTTCTCCTTTCTTTAGGTCTTCATGACCTTCAGCAGCCGGACCTCACTATAGCAGATGAATGGTAAGTACTGTCGAACAAAAATCAAACAGGCCAACACCTTCAGAACACCGTCAGGACAATAGGTCCCTAAAAACTTTCAAACTTAGCTCTATGTCTTGATAAGCTGAACTATGGTCTTTGGTTTACCCACTCAGGACATATTGTGAGACAGATATTGACCCACACCACCGTAAGCTCACTCAGCTCCAGGCTGTGGTCCGATACCTGACTGGGAAAGAGCCGGACTTGGAGTGTGAGTTTTCCTCAACTGTATTTTACATTTTTCTGCAGTATTTTCTATGCAGATGACAAATACTTTAAACAGGAAGTTATGCTCATCCCCTGATTTTAACATGTTTATTATACTGTGGCTAGTTTGGCTAATGTTTTCAACTAAGAGTATACTTTCAACTCTGTTTACCACATTTTACCATGTTCAACAGCACACAGTTATACATAATAAGCGTTTGCTATTCTTAAAGTAAAGGTTTTATTGTTGCATCAGGTGACGAGATACTTCTTCAGCAAGTTCTTTTCGATGCAGTGGTAACAGCACCACTGGAGGCCTACTGGACAGCGCTAACGCTAACCACCCCCGGGTAAGAGGCTTTATTTAATCTCTGGATGTTGTGCATTAAGCAAAGCCAGACTTTTTGTGTCCCTCTTTTATTTTGAAGAACATTTTGGAAAAAAAGGAGTCAGTGTTTATAGTCATTCTTTCTTTGCTTTTATCTCTGTATAGCGTAGATGAAGGCATGGAGTCGGCTTTCCTGGGAACCCGCTCTGGGCTCATGCGTGTGATCAGATATGCAGGAAGTGAGAAACGTGTTGGAAAGTGAGTGAGCTATTTTAAAAAAACAAACAACATATATATATATATATATATATATATATATATAAATGATATTTTTTAATGATCATTTATTATCATTT